GATGGTGTTGGGATAGGAGAAAACAAGGCAGGGAACTTTTCCAGCTAGGTTGGAAGAGGTGGATCAATTCGTGGAGGCAGAACCACCCGCACGCCCATAGATTTGAGTATAATAACCATCCTAAAATAGAGAATCGATCCTACAAGTTAGTTGGTTTGGGAGCAGGTCAGAGGCAGGCTGATAGAGCTGTCTTGGGAAGCTTAAGAAAGCGGGAAGGTGTACACTCTAACAGTTGGAGCAAGGAAAGCAGAGAGCTTTGTGTTCGGCTATGTGCTTCGAAGTTGTTTTTACTTTTCTGACTAACATCCTTGGAATTGTTAAACCGATCACTAAAGTTTCTTAACAAGCCGTATTTTCACTTTCAATACAGTTTTCTGTTTTCAGTGACTAGGACCCAGGAAGCAGAGCCTGACTTCCTGGGTTCAAATCTCGGTGCTACTATCCGAACTATTTTAGGAGAGATGAACCAAGCGTCTCTCTGTGCTTTCAGTCCCTCATCTAAAATTGGAGCCCATCATAGCTCCTAGACGATGAGGGCATTGCAAGTATTACATTAGTTCATCCAGGGTCTACAATACTACCTGGCACATGCTACGCTCTCAGCCAAGGTTGGTTTAATATTGTTTAAGTTAAAGAACTCTACACTATTCCAATTTGTATAATAGAACCAATAAAATACACGGAACAAAATTTAACATCTAACACGCTAATTTTCATGCTCAGCACATTATAACTGAACATTAGACTTTTTGCTTAATGAGTTGTATTTCAAAGTATACTGTTTCACTTAATTTAACATACAATTATCTACTAAACAGTAAGTGAATTGTTCTTCTCAATGAGTGTATTAACCCATGGTCAGTTTTTGGCTATAAACTTTATGTCTTTATAAACCTCACTCTCTGTTATTAGCTTTCAGTAAATGGTGCTTATGATATTCATTTTAGAAGAAACACAGTGATGTTTTTGGTTTTGTTTTCCGAAGTGTCTAGTTAGTTCTTTGTCAACTGACACAAGCCAGAGTTATTTGGGAAGAGGAACTTCAATTGAGAAAATGCCTCCATCAGATTCCCTATAGGCAAGTGTATAGGACATTTTTTAAAATTAATGATTGATGTGGGAGGGCCCAGCCCAGTAGGGGTGGCACCACCCCCTGGGCATGCAGTCCTGGGATGTATAAGAAATGTAGCTGAACTTGAGCCTGAGGCGCAAGCCAATAAGCAGCATCCATCCATGGTCTTTGCTCCAGTTCTTGCCTGCAGGTCCATGCCTTGAGTTCCTGCCTTGACTTGCTTCAGTGAAGGAATGTAAGCTGTAAAGTGAAATAAACCCCTTTCTCCCTTCAAGCTGTGTTTGGTCATGGCGCTTATCACAGCATCAGAAAACAAACGAGGGCAAAAAGTAAAGCCAAGTAGGAGAGCCAGTGGCGCTAAAGACACCATATAATAGTGAGCCAAGATTTGTGATCGTTTCTGTTGTTTAATCTGTAATTCACACATTATGTCATGCAGTCCAGGAGAAGTCCCTGTTTCCTCTTGGCGCTGCTGAAACTTGTCCTTCCTTGTCATTAAGATCGAGCATCTCACAGGGTGATGGCGCTGCCCACCTTTAATGCCAGGACTTGGGAGGCAGAGGCACATTGATCTCTGTGTGTTTGAGGTCAGCCTGATCTACAAAGTGAGTTTCAGGATAGCCAGGACTGTTACACAGAGAAACCCCATCTTGGAAAAAAAAAAGAAAGAAAGAAAGAAAAAGATTAAGCTAAGCATCTCTAGGTCCAACAAGTGTTTAGTGTGCCCAATAAGCAAGAATGTGAAAATATATGCACAATTTCATTGTTATACTTGGAGGTGATATTCTTTGTGGGTGGCCCAAGAACATCAAGAGATCTGGTGTCAGAGACAGACCCTTGCATATAGAATTAAGTCAGTCTTAACTTGGGCCCAGACCAAAAGAAGGGTCAAAACCTGTATGAAATGCATGATAAGACGATGGAACTGTTTTAGAAATGCATTGCGCCAGTATCCCTAAGACATTTTTTTAAATGGGCAATTGTCTACTAAATATAATTCTCTGAGTACCTGCTTCATTTGATAGTTTAGGCTCTGCTGTTTGCCATTAGTCCTCCCCTGCCCTCAAGTGAATCTCATGGGAATTCAACTGTGAGAACTGTTGCCTCAGAAGTGGTAAGTTGGAGAGATGTTAATGAGTCTTTCACTTTATGGTGACCTGGAAAGTTGGTGGTGAGAGTGGACTAGCAATTCCACACAAGCTGGAGTTCTTTTATTTGGGTAGACATAAAGACCAAATTAGATTCGCAGATTCTGTCCTAACTCTTCTCATGCTGTATCATAGAATATGATGCCTTTATCCTTTTCCTGTATAAACCAGAGGGTTCATGGTTGTTACCAACAGAAATTGCTAACTATTTGGGAGCAGAAAGTTGTATTGAGAGTGTATTAAATAGCTACACAGCCAGCACCTTAACAGCCACTGTTACTGCCGCATCTACTGTTACACTCTGGTCCTCTGAGGAGTAGGTACCAGGACGGATGTGATATATAACAGATTTGTTGATGGAAAATCCTATGACAGAAAATAATATGGGACCCTGTAGGTGACTGGGAAAGCTGTTGGATTGCAATATAAGTCTCAGCTTTATGATGGAGGGAAGGCAAGACCGTTGGCTAGAAAGAGTATTAGACTGAAGTGCAAGTCTAATAAAATTATTCGCCATGTTGATGCAGAGTCCAAAATGCAAAGTCACCTATTGGAACAATCCTACACGTCTAAGAAGTGGGCCTGCTTGCTCAGTTATTGATGGAGTCAATGTGGTCTCAGAGCAAAATAGCAAACTTTGATCATAACAACTAGGTCCATGGTTAATTGCACACCCTGCATTTGGAGAACTAGGAGGCACATTTTTATTATGGTCTCAAACAAAGGTTTTGTATTGCTGTATGTCACTGGCTCTCAATTCAAGGAATACATCCTTGGATTCAGTTTATCTAAGTCCCATACCTGTGTCGTGATTGTCAGGGGGATTTGCTCTGTAACAAGATCTGTTGAGTTTCTCCCATAATTAATGGAATTCAGGTGGTAGACAAGATCCAGAAGAGGACAAATGCTCACTACACTCTTTGAACTCCTTAATATCTTTATCTTGTTCATTGTTGATTATAAATATTTACAAATAATAAAGTGTTTGGGGGGGTGTCAGCACATGTACCAAGCTCCTAGGAGTAGAGGTCAGAGAACAACTTGAGGGAATTGGTTCTCTCCTTCTACTATGTATGTTCTGGAGATCAAATTCATATTGTCAGACTTGACAAGGTGCCTTTACCCACTGAACCATCTTTCTGGCCCACAAATTATCATTTTGGGTACAGAATCTTGCTGTATATCGAAGGGTGGTTTGGAAGTCATTGTGCAGCCCAGGCTGACCTCAAACTCACAACTTGTTTTGCTTCCCCCTCCAAGTGTTGAGATTACAGGTGAGCCACCATACACAAAAATGTTGAGCATATGTGTATTTAAAAATGTTTATTGAAATAACAGTATGAATATAGGTAGCTGGTATTCAAATGCTCTCCCACAATCAATCAGTCATTGGATCATTCAATCAAGCAAGCTAGCTACCAAATAAATGCAAATTAAAATCCAGCAGGATGGCTATAGTCAAGATTGGTAACAGTTGTTGGAGCTGTGGAGAAACTGGTATCCTTATATACAGTTGATGGAAATATAAAATAATGAAACCACTTTGGGAACATCTGGTAGTTTCTTGAAAAAATTATACATAGTTACCCATGAATTGAAAGTGCATTCATGGTGAGGTAATGGCTCCATTGGTAATGTGCATGCTATGAAACGAAGTAACCAAGTAGTAACCACAGTGGGTCTAGGAAAGCAAAGATCATGCCTTCTGTTTTCCAGAATTGTGTTTTCTCCTGGAGGCTCTTTATATTAAAATCTGTCCAGAACTTAGGGTGTTGATCCAAGCAATTCATCAGTGGTCCTTTCTAATTACACAAGGGACTATTTACATCTCTTTCACTCCCTGGTTTGGGCTCTGTGTGTGCAGCTGTTGCCAAGATCCAGTCACACATGAAGTGCCGCAGGAGTTCAGGTTCAGGTCCACACTCTCACCCACTTACCAGTGTTTCTGTTTTCACCTTGTTGGGGCAAGGTCTCTCTTGTGCCTGTTGTTGCTGCACTGCACACTCCAGACCAGTTGGCCTGTGAGCTTCCAGGTGATTGTCCTATGCACACTTCCTATCTCACTGTAGGAGTACTGAGATACTCGTGCACATCACTGCATCTGGCTTTTTATATGAGCTCTGGGAATTGAACTCAGATCATTAGGCTTTACCCACTGAGCCATCTCATCTATACACAACACACACACACACACACACACACACACACACACACACACAAAGGGGGTAGGTGAGTACTAGCATCTATGA